AATTATAACAAACAAAAAAGTAAATATGCCACAACAGCAACTGGACTAAAACACAAAAAAACACTCTCAAGTCACCACAAACAAATACATGTGTGCAAATACTGACCGAACAGAAAAGTAGAAACTAAACATTAGCAGGTGGAAGCAGAACAAGCTACACTTGGCGGATTCCTATTGATTGCTTTTTATTATTTCAGTTATATCTTATCTTGTTGGCCATCGTTTGTCGCTGTCACTTCTAACGAAGTATCAAACGCCACCACACCACAACCACTACAACAGACAATTAGCCAAAACAATTTTAACCAATCACAAATCAGAGATATATTTGAAGTTTTTTTTTTTTGAGAGGTCTTTGAATGACTTGGTTTGACGTTAATTACAGAAAAAAAATTTGTAAGGATTGACAAAGTGTTTGATATAAATCACTATATTGGCGGTTACATGACACTTTGGTTTGTGGTTGACATATTTTGTTTCTTCGATGTAATGTAATTTTACATTAATTTGAAACGTGATGTAAATATTTTTTTTTACAATTTGTTAATGTTATTTTAATTGTATTGTAAAATACCTAAATTTACAACGTAAATAAATTAAAATTAGATATGTTATAAAATGTAATAGAAATCCCACTATCAGGAAGAAATCTTAAACCTCTAAGTTCAGGGATAATGAGAAATTTGAATTGAAGTCTCGAAATGTCACATTACATTCCAAAGAAAATGAGACTAAGTCCGGTATAATATCGGGTTGTATGTGAAGAATACAAACAAACTTTTGAACTGGGGCTGGAAGAACTTTTCATACCCACCAAATTATAGTCATTAAGTATGTGGAATCTTTGGGGTCATGTAAAACATGAACAAATCCTGGGAAGTTTTTTTATGCATTGCCAAATTACAATCACTTCGGTAAGGAAAGTTCGTCTAAAAAATTTAAAATAGCCAATATAATCGGTAAAACCGATTATATTATATCAAAAATCTTCTGCCAATAGTTGTGTATCCTTCAATAACCCATAATGTCAAATTATAGCCACATCGTGGAAAAATGTACAAAAACCCATATCAAAATTCTGAAAATAAGACTAGAATTCAATATATAGATCGGTATATTGCCTTTGCAATGCCATAAATCTCAGAAGTAATAGTAATGTATGTAAAATTTAAATGTTAGTTAATTCGGTGAATATTTGTGGTTAAACCTTGAAATTTCGAAAATGGGACGGGAGCTTTTTATTAGGACTATGTCAAGCATGGCCATATATTCATAATGTTCTGCATATATGTATATGTCAGTCTCCAAAACCCCGGAAAGCTAAATTACAGATACTTCGGTGAAAAAGCAGCTAAATAATCAAAATATAGAGACTATGTCAAAATATGTACTTATATTGATTATTTTCACCAAGAGACGTGCTGACCATAAGATACCCTGGTTCTATATTCTGAGCCTATTGTCCAGGCTCAGAATATAGAACCACAGATAGTTGCCCCCTTTTGACCGAATATAGGTCAACAGTTCCACTTTCTAACCCTGACAAATTTTCAAATTCTTGTTTTTTTTCAGATGAATATTTAAATAAAAATAAAAATTTGGTCACTTTAAGTTTCGGTTGATTTGACTCCTTCTAAGTATTTGGTAAGATCTCCTTCACCGTGTACAATGTGTAATGTTCTGCATATAATAATGGCCTCTAGAGCGACTAGAAAATCTGACAAAAAATGTTTTGGTTCATTGCACTCCCTAAATATCATCTCAACATAATCGGAAATTATAGGTGTCATCCTTGACCATAATCGGAACTTCATGTAAAATTTCAAAGCAATAATCGACATTTCTGCCCTCTAGTGGGGTAATAGTAATACTAGACAATATCATAACAACCATATAATTAATACCAATTTAAAGCTCAACAACTCCTCTTAAATATACTATCAACTTCCTCGGGTCTAGGTCCTTCAGTAGTAAACATATACGCTCCATATTCTCTTGATAGTGGGTTGTGTTGTGATGTTCGGCTTATAATTGTGGCCTATAGATCGACACGAAAAAACACAAAAAATAAGTTTTCGGTCGCCTTCATCCCAAAATTATGATCTGATCATCACCGAAAATTATAGACATTGTCCTTGGCCATAACTGGAACCTCATGGAACATTTCAAAACGATCAGCGCTATATTTCCGCCCTCTAGTGTGGCAATGGGTTACTAAATAATATCTGAATACGTAAATATATTATGTGTGACTCCCACATACGACATTTTGGTATCACTTTAAAGGCCAACCACTCCTCTTGGATATATGTACTATCAGGTTATCGGGTCGATTTCCTTCAGGAGTAAATATATACGCTATACATATTTTGTCACTTTTTCACACAAAAATTCAGGGTCCATTTGACCCGCTAAATACTGACCAATCTTTATCAAAACAGCCATGCTTATTCTTTGGCCCCCTTCTTCACGTAAAAATTCGCGTTGTTTGGGCCATTATTGCTGCCTCTGGAGCGACCAGAAAATCAGACAAAAATAATGTTTTTGTCCATTTCATCACCTACATATTAACCGATCTTTATTATATGGGGTCTTCATTAACCAGAACCCATCCTACATGCAAAATTTCGTGAATATTCGTCCATAACTGTGGCCTGGAACGTGTTTACAAACTATAATGGACAGACGGACGGACACACATGTCTAGATCGACTTAGCTAGTCGAGATATGACGATCGGTATACTTAAAGGTGGTTCTAGGCCGGCGTTACTAACATCATAGTTATGTTTAGTTTCAGTAAGTAGGAAATCTGTCTACCTTACTTACTTAACTGGCTTGTGACAGAACGGATGTTCCATAAGTCGAGCTTAAAAAAGATTTCCAAGCGCGTCTGTCTTGTGCGCATCTCATTCATTTTGAATTACCGTGTTCCGAGATGTTATCTTCTACTTGATCTTTCCATCGCATTCGTAGCCTTCCCCTTCCGCGTGAACCATCATTTGGGTGGCTTTTATATGCCTTTTGAGTACGGGAATCCTCATCTAGTTTCAAAACATGTCCTAGCAAACGTAGTCTCTGCAGCTCGATCCGTCTAGCCCATGGTTGATTCACCGTCGAAGCAGATCGGCCCATAGATCTTCCGGAGAACCATCCGGAGACCATAATAGCATCTGTTGGCCAACACTATTCTTCTCCGAATTTCAAAGCTGATGTTATTAGTTTTGTTTATGGCGAGGTATATAAAATCTGCCTACCAAGAACAATAAATATTGGCCAACTCTTTAGAGTAGATACCTATTTTTTTTTTTTTTTTAGTTTGGACATATTTTTTTAACCAAATTGGCTGTAATTTTATAGGCTCCAACACAACATAAGTGTATGTAATTTGGTATTTCGTTTTCTCCTGGAAGACCCGATTAAGATATTTGAAATGTGGCAATGTGGCATGGACATCGCTTCGATGCTGTTGAACATCGTCGACGAGGATCCATATTACCTCAAAAATCATGGATGTATGTTTATGACAATGAAACCGAAGCCCAAAATCGAAAACACAAAAATCGTATTTACAGGACATGATCACCGCATCAATAATTGTTTTATATATTGATGACTTAATTTAAATGAATATCCCAAAAATAAAATTAATTCTAATCGCATACATAGTCTTTCTATTTGTTGTTATTGTCTAGAGGAATTGTTGATGTTAACTGTCAAATTACATGAAAACATCCATATGGAATTGGTCACACCTGAGATGCTTTCAACAGCGGGAGAATATTTATTTGGTGGTCAAATACCATTGATTTAAAATAATCTAAATGCGAATAGGAAAAAATGTAGCAAAAATGTTTAACAAGAAACTACGACTATGTATTTTCGAAAATATTATTAGTAACCAAGGTCAGCTTCCAAATAAGCCATTGGCATTTTTTCAAAAACAATTATTTGGGGGGTAATACTAATTCCCACAAAACATTGGATTAAGAGTATTCGAATACGTGTAGGGACTGGCATCTTGGCACATATCCTAATAAATCACCTGACATTATTTGAAATACACATTTTTGTTAGATGTGTCAAATTATTGATTTTGATTCCATCGACATGATATTAAACAAATTTATTAGTTGTCAATTCTTCCATTATATTGGAGATCTCAAATAGCCATAGAATCGAACAATTGTGCAAATATCTCTCCATTGATGTTTGAAGTGTTCTGAGTTTCGTTTTTTTGCTATTCAATGGATGGGTATTGCGTATCAATTACCTCCTGTAATAGATAAGTTAGGAGGTAGGGGTGCAAAATAATAATTTCTTTGTTCATTATAGTTGTGTATCCGTGCATCCATTCTATCCAGTTATATCGGGTGCAATGCGATTAAATAAATAACAAGAATTTAATTAGTTCGTCAGCTCGTGTGGATCCAACAGTTATTTCCGTTGACAAAAGGCAAATCAATGGCTGTCAGACCTTTCAAGTGGCGTTTTGTTTTCAGTTGACATTTTGGCGACGCCACATTATGACGTGTATAATTCGACAGAGGGTAATTTGTTTTATATTGAGGTGTTACATGGAAGGTGGTTCAGAAGTATTCGCAGAACTGGATTTCGGAGGAAATTTAATGAGTAATCGAAGTGTAAAGTTATAAGAGGCGTGGAATTATTAAAGAATATGTTTTCAAGGACTAGAAGAGGCGTGGATTTATTAAAGACTATTTTTCAAGGGCCAACTGAGGCGTGGATTTATTAAAGAATATTTTTCAGGGATCACTACAGGCGTGGATTTATTAAAGAATATTTTTTCAAGGGTCGTCAATAGGCGTGGATTTATTAAAGAATATTTTTTCAAGGGTCGTCAATAGGCGTAGATTTATTAAAGAATATTTTTTCAAGGGTCGTCAATAGGCGTAGATTTATTAAAGAATATTTTTTCAGGGACCATCCAAGGCGTAGATTTATTTAAGAATATTTTTTCAACGACCAATACAATACTTACCCATTTTGCCTGTTGAATACTTCTTTATAACAGCAGAAAAAATATTATTTGTCCGATTTTATCAGCAATGTTGAGAAGGAAACCAATGTCAATACCAATTCTTGTATTGGAAAAAAAACTTCTTATCACAAAAAAATGTCCGCACGCACTCAGTGTCTTATGCAAAACAATTTTAAATCATATATTAAATTTTTTATTGTAAAAGTTTAAGTATTCTTAATACATAACACATCACAATAAGTTTTCACTCTTTTGAAAAATGTCCTCCCTATGCCAGTCTTAATCTGTTGAATGTCTCTTCAGCTGCATTTTTTTTTTTTTTTAAATGATAATGCAGCAATAATGCAATGGATCTACTTAAAGATACACTTAAACAATTCTTCAGAATGAATGATGATTTATTTTATTTTTCTTTTTAATGTATATAAAGGAACACTTGATCTCAGTCTATAAAATGTTCGCGGCATATGTTTAAGTCTATTTTATTTATTGTATTTTTTTCGTTTTGTCCAAACGATTTGAACTTTAAAATTTAAAAATTGTTTTTTTGGATAGCTTTCGAATTTAGTCACACCGACTAAATCACCAACAATAAAAATTCACACAGTTCGGGTGTGAGCCAACCGTGCAAGTGAGCGTACACCAGCGCAAGTGTGTCTTGATTTAAATGCGTTCACGAATGAACTGATCAGAGCTCGCAAACCGAAACTCAAACTGAAGCTTAAACAAAAGAAATTGTCCCATTGAAAAAAAGCGAATAAAAACAACAACAAAATATTGTTGTATATTGTCCAGAGCTGTGATTATTATTATTGTTATTATTGTGGGCTTTATAAAAAATGTGAGCGGATTTGTTGTAGCTGTTGTTTGACTATCTGTTGTATCAGTGCAATTGATGTGCAATAATGAAAAACAACAAAAAAAACTGTTCGGTTTAGAGATTATTTTCAGATTTGAAATGAAGATTTGGAAATATTTTGCAGCAATGAAATCCAGGCCTTATATGAATCCTTGAAAAATTATTCAAAAAAAAAAAATCCAGGCCTTATATGAACCCTTGAAAAATTATTCTTAAGCAGTTAAGTCGGACGGGGCGACTTCAAACAAATATCAATAGGACATCCGTTGGACTATGTCTATACTTCTAGAAAAAGCAACTAGCCATTATTCTATGCTCAATTTTGTACGTTGTGCAAAATGTCATGTCAATCTGACAAAAACAAGGAGTTTGATGCACCATTTACTTAAAATTGGCCGAAAGTATATACGGAAGCTATATCCAGATATGAATATTTTGAACTAATTTCAGTACATTTTGTTCCTATCAACCAAATATTGGTTTCTTGGTGCATCAATTACTTAAAATCAATCGATAATTTATGAGTCTCAACCGATTTTCACGAAACTTGTTAAACACATCATTCTGGACTAAATTCAGTACACTATGCAATATAAGAACTTTGGTACATTATTTACATTAAATCGGACAAAAAATGTATATATATATATAGATCTGAACCGATTTTCACGAAACCCAGCACACATCATTCCAGGCTCAATTCAGTACGCTATGCCAAATTTCGTGCAAATCGAAGGATATATAGGGACTTTAGTGCACAATTTACATTAAATCGGAAAAACATATACATATATGAGAGCTATATCTAAATGTGGACTAGTTATCAGGAAGCTTGGCAGATTTCACTTTAGGCTCAATTCAGTACGTTGTGCCAAATGTCGTGCAAATCGAAGGATATATTGGGACTTTGGTGCACCATTTACATTGAATCGGACGAAACTATATATGGGAGCTATATCTGAATCTGGACCGATTTTCACGAAACATGGTAGATTTAACTATATGCTCAATTCAGAACGTTATGCCAAATTTCGTGCAAATCGAAAGATATATAGGGACATTGGTCCACCTTTTACATAAAATCGGACGAAACTATATATGGGAGCTATATCTAAATCTGGACCGATTTTCACGAAACTTGTCAGACATCACTCTAGCCTCAATTCAGTACGTTACGCCAAATTTCGTGCAAATCCAAAAATATATAGGGACTTTGATGCACTATTTACCTAAAATCGGACGAAAATATATATGGGAGCTGTATCTAATTCTGGACCCATTATCACGAAACATGGCGGATTTAACTTTAGACTCAATTCAGTACGTTATGCCAAATTTCGTGCAAATCGAAAGATATATAGGGACTTTGGTGCAAATCGGACGAAACTATATATGGGAGCTATGTCTAAATCTGGACCGATTTTCACGAAACTTGGCAGACATCACTATAGGCTCAATTCAGTACTTTGACCCAAATTTCGTGCAAATCGAAAGGTATATAGGGACTCTGGTGCACCATTTACATATAATCAGACGAAACTATATATGGGAGCTGTATCTGCATCTGAACCGATTTTTACGAAACGTGGCAGACATCACTCTAGGCTCAATTCAGTACGTTATGCCGAATTTCGTGCATATCGAAAGATATATAGGGACTTTGGTTCACTATTTACCTAAAATCGGACGAAAATATATATGGGAGATATATCTAAATCTGAACCGATTTTTCCTAAATTCAATAAGGTTCGTCCTTGAGCCAAATAAACGAGCTGTGCAAAATTTCATCCAATTCGAATCAAAAATGCAACCTGTACTTTGTTTACAATTTAACATGGACAGACGGACGGACGGACGGACATGCATAAATGGACTTAAAAAGTGATTCTATGCATATTCTCAAAAGGAACCGTATGTCTATCTCGTTTCCTTTTGCCTGTTACAAACATATGCACAAAGACGTAATACCCGATATGACAGTGTGGTAAAGGGTATAAATAATAGAATTTATTCAAGGGAGCAAGATCCGTATCTTCATTTTTTTGAACATTTTCATTAGACTGATTAGCCCAATCTTTATTCTCACAGAATAAACAACCCCTTGACACAAATTTACGTAGCCCCCATACAAAGGTCCCTACCGATTTTATATATTTCCAATGTCCATCCCATAAAATTTATGTCCCGCCGAATTCAACATAATGTTTAAACAATTAAAAACGATGTTAAGTTCGGCCAGGCGGAAATTTTAAAATTAATGTGAGTTCCTATCATGTTATGATAGGACTTGACATACCGAAAATACGTGAGAAAAAGGTGATTGATATTTTCAAAATATCTAATAGTAAATCTACCGCTATATGGGGCTATAACAAAACGGATATCAATGTTGATATGAAAGAGATTTGACAAGCAACGAGAATAAAACAAATTAAGTTACAGTCAATTCGGTAGAAAACGTATCCAAAATCCCTAGAATATTAAAATTTTTATGTTATTATATGTTATTCAATAAGAACGAGTATTAGGGTGTACCTTTATATGGGGCCTTCACCAAAACGTGGACCATCAAGAAGTTCTAGCAATGTTTGTGCAAAATTGCATAACTCTATTTTAATTATTGCGATCTCTATCATGATTTCAACAAACTGACGGACAGGCGTAAGCAGAGATGGTCCGTCAGAAACAGTGACGTAAGTGACATACATTTTCGACGTATACGTCATACGTCAGAAACGTCGGAAACCCACCCAATACTATTAGAAAACCTAAAATTCGTCATACGGACCATCCCTGGAAGTAAGTCGACATAGAATTTTATTCTGATCAAGAATGTGTATAGATATACTTTGTGGGGTCTCCGGTGAATATTTCGAGGTGTTACAAACGCAATGGCAAATTTAATATACACTGCATCTTGGAGGGTATAAAAAGATAGAGCAAGAACTTATCCAACTCAAAAATGTCATCAGAAATTCATTTTTTTAAAACAAATTGTTTTGTTTTATTATTTTACTTTTATTGTATTGTGTAACGAGTAATTTAGTGTAATTTAGTTTTTTTATTTATTTTGTATTTCCTAAAACAATTGAATTTAGAAATTGTAGAAAAAACAAATAGTTGTTTACAAACAAACCAAAAGAAAAAAAATGTCAACACAAAATAACTAAGCTTTCAATTAAATTACGACAACAACATCAATGCTCAGTGAGTACTTAAACAGTGAATGAGTTGGGTGTCGGAGATTATCTCTCAGATATCGATACACGTTGTAAAACTCCTACTCTTAAATAACAAATTTCCAACTCTCCAAATAATTCTTAGAGATAGATAGTTATATGGGATGGAGGGAGAGCAAGTTTACAACCAACGGTGATTTTAAACATTTTTCTAATTTTATTTACGACTTGAATAACGTAACTTTGCAAAAAGCTTTTTTAATTATTACACTGTTAACTACGATTACCGTTATTTTAGTAAACGTCAAGTTTTTTGCCATATTTGTAAAAAGCTGTCTGTCAACACTGTTCCGCCCCCATATTAGAAAAACAAATTATGAAAATTTGTCAGCTGTTGAAATTATTTTATTAAATGTGTAGTTTTAATTGTTATTATTATTGTTGTTTCTACTTACCTTGTTTACCCCTTTCCGGTCATAAAATATTTTTTTTGTGTGCCAATGCACGTGTGTTTGTTGCCTCAAGTTCAAATCACATTCATTTTCAAATTCATGATGTGCGCTTAGTGAATTAATTTAACTGATGTTGCAATTAAAATGCCTGTTGTATTTGTTAGAGTGAGATTTTTTCCCCTCACCGGTCATTGTTTTTATTTCAATTGTGGATTCATTCATGTTTTGTTGTTGCTGGTGGAAAATTCATCACATATTTTAATAAATTAAGTTAAACACATTTTTGTACTAATATTAATTTTAATTATATAAAATATTTAAACAAATTTATTTAACAGTTGTTTTGTTGATTTCTTAAATAACAGAAAGTAATGTATGCTTTTTTATATTAAATTTACAGGTATAGTATTTGTTAACCAGAATACTATTATATAGGCGATATAGATACAAGATGACTTAAGAATTTGAATTCTCCAGACTTATTTTTTCTAGAAATAAGGTCAACGTTCGGAAGCAGCTAAATATTATGCAGGTAATGTTTAAAAATTATGGGTATAGTTGCTAGTTCTCATGTCTCCTATTAAATGAAAG